CTCCATCATTTCAAAAAATATTTTTGGCAGTTTGCCTTGCATTTTCATTCCTTTCATAGAAGTTCTTTTTGGGGGCAAACCATGCTATTCCAATCTCCCAGTAGAGGCCAATTTTCATATTGCAAGTCTATTAGTTTTTCTATAAGTCCTTTAAAAAATATAGCTTTGTTATCATTTGGGGCATATATTCCCAATAACATAATCTTGATTTTATTCAAATTAATTTCAGCCCCCACATATCTCCCATAATCATCAGTCAATATCAGTTTTGGTCGCAGTTATGGGTTTATATACAAAACAACTCCATTTTTCTTACTTGTCCCTGTTGAGATAAATTCTTGTCCCAAACCTTATAAATCAGCTTCTGTTTCTTTTCAACAGATTTCATCCTTCAATTTGTTTCTTGATGTCACAAATACACTTAAAATTCCTTCTAGTTTTGCAATATGTGATCCTGTCCTTTACAGTGAACCTTTACCTAATTCAAAAATTACAGAGGTATGCATTTTGTTTCCGTATATAACCTAGCCTCTACTGTTGGGGCTCAAAGATCTCAGTAAAAAAAAAAAAAAAAATCACCTACCACACAGAAAGAATAGAACTGGGGAGAAATAGTCAAGGTTTTCATACTGCTAATTCTTGCCCTCTTTTTTTCTTCAGAAGATGCACCAGCCCCTGTGGCTGAGATGGCAGCAGCTCATTTGGCTTTGTTCTATGAGAAGCCTCTTCAAGAAGTCTTTATTTCTATCACAGCCTCAGCTGAAAATCTCCGTCAACCAATTACACTGGCATCATCTTTCCACTCTGCATGTGGCGGCAGAAGAGTTCCCTCTGAGGCCGCTGCACTGTAAATTCCACTAAGGTAGAAAGACTAAGAGGGATCTCACAGTAATAAGAGATTGTTCTACCCAGAAAATATATAGTATTGATGAAGGATTGTCTTTAGTTTTAAAATAAACTACTTTAAAATGCTGAAGTGCCATTATAAATCTGAGGGATGGTAGAACATGATCCAGTAAAAAAACTGACAGATGAAGTCCTTTAGTTGAGTCTGTTTTCAGGTAAGGACAAAATAGATGGGCAACATTTTCACTTTTAGTTCACATTTTGTATTCCACCTTTCCTATGGAAACTTTGCCCATTACAATTCCTTTTCCTATAAAAGGAATCAGAAATTTGTCTTTATGGCAGCATTTGCATTGTAACTAACTGCTTTGCTTAGGTTTGATGTTGAAATTCTGATTTTGCAGGTTTCAATGTTAAAAAAATAGTTTCTTGGTATGCTTTCATTAGATAATTTGCCTAGCCCTAAGAGGAATGATTAAATTTCACCTCTGGAACAGTGTCTATGATGCAAAAGCAATTAGGCCTTTCTAGAGAATGTTTAAGATAGACTTTGCATTTTGTTAAATTATTCTACTAATGTGTGTGTGTGTGTATTCAAAAACAAATTACATGTTGTCAGGATCCTCGCAATCAATCAACTATCTATTTATGGCAACTATTAGATTTAGTAGAGCTATTGACCTAATTAGAATGTTTCCTCACACAGGCCATAAAGTAGAAGTGTTTGGGTTGTTAAGAATGTTAGTTTATATAAATTGCTTACTCGTTCCTGCCACAAAATGGGGGGGGGGAGAGATTTAGGTAGACAGAGACAGACGGAATGTTATCGAGTTCTCAGGAATTCGCAAGGTCGCGCAGGCGTGAGACCAAGAAGAGATCCAAGAGAAGGCGTGAGAGGGACTGGAACTTGAAAAGAGGGAAACCGCGGGGGGGGGGGTTAAAAGGAAAACACTGAGAGTGGGTTATCAGTTTCAGCAATCTATGTATACTTCTTCTCAATAAAGAAATCTTTACTGGAATGGTCTAGTCTCCAGAGGATTTACTTGGATTGGGAATTGAGTGTTGTAGACTCTGACACATGTAAAGCAAGTAATATGAAAGCAACCTTAATTTAGAAAGACAGGAAAATATTAGCATTGCAAGTCTTAAAGTATCTTGTTGCTTATTTATGTCCAGACTTAGAAAAATTAATAAAAATTATCCAGCTTAGCTCAAAAATTTGCTGCACCTTTAATTGTACAGTAGTCATTAATTTGGTTGTTTCAGGTTTTTCTCTCCCCCAAATTTAATGTAATAATTTATTTACAGTTAGGAATATAATCAAACATAATCATAGTTTTTGTTTTCATGAACTTAATCAAGATATTTGCTATAGGTAAGAGTTTCCATATTGGCATATGCTCCTCTGTATCTTAGGTTTGAGTTGGTAGGTTAAGGCTTCTGTTTCCTTCTGTTGACAGGTGGAGGCTGAGGTAAACTTTACATGGAGGGCTCAACTTACTTTCTTTTCTTTCTTCCAGGCTGCATCAAAAGAACAAAGAGCTCTTCCAAATAGAGCAGAGTTTTGAAATAAGCCAAGGACTGCAGGGTAGCCGGACTGCTTTGTATCCTGTTCCACTCAAAGACCCTTGATAGCATGTATAAATTACTTAACCCCTCCCTGCCTTTTCCTCTGGGGGAGAGAGATGTAAACCCCCACTCAAGCAGTCCTTCTGTCTCAAACTGATAAGGGAGCCAGATCAGAATATAGTTACTCTAGTTTGGGAGACAAGAAAGACAATCTAATATAGCAAATCATCAGGAACCTATTTCAACTTTTTTTCACAATAATAATTTGGTAAGTAGCCCAGTGTCTTTTGATTTGGATGGGCTATAAAATGTTAATCTAACACTTGCTCCTTTTTAATGACAAGTTATATCACAATATGAATAGATACTTTTTTTAAAAACCACAATCTGTATTGGGACCATTATCATCTGCTGAACTACATTTAGAACTCTGAACTATTTCCTATTTCAGAAGATTTCCAGAAAATTCCTGAATAGTATTGGAAATAGTCACATCAGTACATTCAGCCAGATTAATAATATGGAACATTCCAGTGGTAAATGTTTAAAAAAAATCCACATAAGGCAGCAATAGCAAAGCACTACTTTACTGCTGCTGTGAAACTTAAACTGAAGTGTTCATAGTATTGCCAGGATGGGATATGCCATTTAAAAATAAAATTATTAATCAACAATGGATTTTGATTTCTCCCCCAAAGTATAACCCTTATGGTGAATTTTTTTTTCTAACATGACCACTATTTTTTATTTTTTTTTGGTCTCACGTTTTTAAAAAATGTTGATGTAATAATATTCAAAGACTATCATACACTCATTCTTTAGGCTTGTCCTGCTTCCATCACAACCCTCCTTTACTTGTTTCTGGTAAAGCTCTGCAAAGGGGCATGCAATAGTATTTTCCACTGAAATGTCTAAATTACATATGAGAAATGAGAAATTACATATGAAATTACATACGTATCTGATTTAGTAGGATTATCTGTATGGATTAAGACTTTGTATGGCTGGTAATATCTGAAACCCCTGCAAGAAGATTGATTTGGTCTTCAAGCACATTTGTTTCCTGCATTTTGTCTTACTAAGCTCCCAGAATAAACTACATACATCGGAAGTGGGGAAGTCTCTGTTTACAGTCTTGGCTCTGATATCACATTTTCACAAATTAAATACAGACTAAATGGGAAACTCATATAACATTTAATCTGTATGTTTATATTTGTACAGGTTTTATTTCTTATTCAATACAAAAGAAGCCCTGATCTGTAGTAAATGTAAAAAGCCAGCTAATACTCAGGATAACAGCAGCCTTCCTTACCATGCCCCTCTCTCCCACAAGCCTCCCAGTATAGCCTTTGCTAATTGGGATTTGTCTTTAAGACATAAGTCCTCAGTGTTTAGCAATACCAAGTTTGTTCTTTTGTTTATGTCTGTCTGAATCAGACAAAAAATGGTCTACTAACAGACTATATAGTTATCCTCTTGGTTTGTTGTATTTAAATATTCTAATATCACACTGGCATTCTTAGACATCACTCTGAAATCAGAAATCTTTTCTTCTATTAAGATTAATTAGCATTCAACCCCAACATGCACAACTATAAATTACTTCATTTTTTTTTAAATGGGATATGCTATACAACAGTTTTAAATAAAACCAGTGCCACCCATCAGCTCTCAATATCTACAGTTGTGTTATGTACCACCTCCACAACCCTTAGAGTGAATGACAGAGCTCCTTTTTCTCCTCAAAAGAAAACAAGAGACAGCAACTTTAAAATCAAACTGAATCTATTTGAGAAACTAGACAAATTACATAATTTTTATTTCAACATAACAATCAGATGAAGGCTTTTAATAAAACAGCCTGGGATCAGGCTGTATAAATCTCTTCCTTTTAAAGCATCAGCAAAGATGAGGGCAGAAAAGGAAGCAAGGCACAGCCTGAAAGAGGCACCTTACTTTCACAATTAAGATACATTAAAAATATAAAAGTATCTGTTCTCATATATATTATCATATATATTACCATTCGTGTACATATACATGAATGGTCTCTCTCCCTTTCCCTCTCCATCTTGTTGCAGTGAAAAGAAAGATTCCACTTGCTTTTTTTCCTTTCTATTTGCCTATTTTGAGGCAATGATGAACTCCATTTGAACCAAGTGAGCCAAGTGTGAACTTTATGCAGTTTTCCAAGATCATCTATTTGTAGTACCCATTCCGAACTTACATTTATTTTTACAAAAAAGTCTATGCAGAGCTTAGATCCATGAAAAATCAAAACCACTGCACATTTGAACTAAAAAGATAATGCAATCAAGGTGATCTATCCAAGCAAGGCTGCCATGAGAATTCTATTACCTCCAGACCTGAATGTGCAAGAAGCCACATATTTGTGCAAGAGGCAGGATTCTTTCTATTGAAACCTCCTTTCTCCTGCCCCATCTATATCAAGAGACAAATGCAGACACTGATGGCAAGGGAGCCCCTTTACAAATAATAAATGTTCAAGAAGAAAGGAACAAGCAAAGGGGTGATTTCCTGTAAATCTAATTATATTAGCAGTGTATATATCAATCTCCCATCCAGAGCAGCAGGTGCTGAAAGCTGTTTGTCTTTGGGCATTACAGAGGTACCTGCTTTATTCTGCTATCTGCATGTAGAGTGTGAGAGCTTCAAGAACTGTCAACCACCTGGTGGGGCAAAGTTACACATGAACCATTGATAAAGGAACCTTGCTTTTCACGTCCTTTCATGAAATAGGTCAGTAAGTCACCCTTGCCTTTGACATAAATGTGCCCTCGACGCACAAAACGGAAGCCATACTCTTTCAAGATAAAGTGAGTTTCCTCCACCACCTACAAAGGTGAGAGAATACACAGATATAATCAAGCAGGTTGCAGCTAAAACTTATCAACCAAATGTTTCTTTTTAGATTTCCGGTTTTTATATCAATATTTTACCCACCTTTTCTAACTAATCCAAAAGAAGTGGATTACAAAAGCTGTGCTATATTGTGGAATGAAACTGGGAAAGTAGGATGCTTAAAGCTCATCATAATGAAAAAATGCAGAAGGAAAATTCTACACAGATCCACAAATATCACTTAATTTGATCATACAACCAGGAAAATGTACACTAAGAATATATGGATCTATGAAGCTATGGTTCATCATTTTGCAAAGTGTCATTACTTATCTGAAATAACTTCCTGATTTTCAGGAGGGGAGAGGATATACACACACAGCCTTTGGTAATCATTGAATACCCTTTTCTACGTAGGACTTTTTTTGTTAAAACACTGCACAGCTGAAAGCAATGCTAGCATTTTAAAGAGCGAGTAGCCTCCTTTCTTTTTGATGTATTAATAGTCTTCAACCTATGTTCTGGAGAATCCTGGAGTTCCTTGTCTATTTAGCAGCAGTTCCTGAGGATCAAGAGTGGCAGGCTGTGGGAAGTCAGCTCACTCACCGCTATAACAATTCTTCCTTACATCAGGCTTCCCCAAGTAAGTAACTTTGTAGATATATTGAACTATAATTCTGGTCACCTTCAGTCAGCATGACAACCATATTGACTGGGAGTTACAATGATTGTATGGTCTATTCTATCTAGGTGAACCCAACAGATTGTCTGATGTCTTAAGAGCAGACTGTAATTAAGCAGCAGAATCTGTTGGCATTCAATGTGACTGGAATATAATTCCTTAAAAATGTCCCCAAATCCATTGCATGATTTACACAGACAAGCCATTTCGATTTGCACTGAAGGGAACTGAGAAACCTCTTTAGATAGCTTCTTTGTACCTTTTCAAAGCATCCTGGTATATAAGAAATCATGAGATTCCATACAGTGCTGCTATGGATATTGAGCCCTTCCCTATTGTCCCTATCTGTGGCCAGTTTCTAATCCCCATCACACAGTAATTATTAAACCTGGCTGTACTGCAATTATAGTCAGAGGTGGCAATTTCATTCATAGCCACCATTTTCACAAACCTCCCTGATCCCATCAAAGCAGGACAGCATCCCCACCTGTATATTTCCCATGACACCCGTGGACTCCATCCGGCTTGCCACATTCACAGTGTTCCCCCAAATGTCGTAGTGAGGTTTACGGGCACCAATGACGCCTGCTAGAACTGCTCCTTTATTCATACCTGCCAGCACCATATAACAACAAAGAGAAAGTGAGAAACAAATGCATCAAGTATTCAGCAGTACTTTTCAGTCCTTGTCCCAGAGCCAGAACAAGACTAAGAGTCAGGAAAGCTTAGTACTAAAATCCCTGATGGATTTGAACAACGATTCAAATAAATCAGGATACTATTTCTCATGATGGCCAATCAAATGCCTAGGCCTAGGAGCCCACAAATATGATGAGTAGAGTAGCATCCTTCCCACTTCACTGTTGTTCCCCAAATATTAGTATTTAGAAATAGAACATCTTGGGATATTTGGTTGATAGACCTTTCCTCTTCTTTTTCCTTTACAGCATCCTTTAAAATTATCTAAACTAACAGCTTTCAGCATATTATCTGGTAATTATTATGCCGTGTGTAAAGCGTTCCACTTTGCCTTGAGTCTGGTATTAATTAATCAATTACAATATTCTAGTATGATGAAATTATTCCCATTTAGCCCTCTTACATTACAAGGGCACCCCACTTGCCTATTCGCAGCATGAAGTTATTGAAGGACTGATAGTTAATGTTCATCAAGGTCTCTTTCATGGCTAAGGCAAAGTCTGCAAGATCTGCCAAATGTTGCCAGCGCTCCTTTTCTGAAAGATCTTCCTTCTGGGGAAGGTAAAACACCATAAGAAGAAAAACCAGGTGAGGGACACTTCCATTCTCCAGTTTTAAATTCTACTACAAGCTACTCTGAACAAGTCTAGATCCCAAATCTCTTATACGTTAGACTTCATTAAATTTATGTACATATATTAAAACCTGTTTCCTAATGAGTTCCAATGTTTTTCATTTCTGAGACTTGAAAAGATTAATTATGCAGGACCTCCTCTCCCTTCATAAACCCTGATGTATTTTACAGTGGCAATTTTTAGTCTGGGCTGTCTTGTCTTATCTACTTTTAATTGTTTTAATATTCTATTAGATTTTATATGCTGCCCAGAGTCTGTTGGAGTGGGCAGCCATAGCGAATTCAAACAAACCATATCTGATTATTAGGATGGAAAGCCAATAACCCTTTAGATAGTCCTGAACATCAGTTCCATTCTTGGACCATTTTGGTTAGGCCTGCAGTGAGTTGTTCAACAGTATCTGGAGGACCATAGGTTCTCTACACCCAAACTAGAGAAGCAATTAATTCCTTATTAATCAAAGCACTACAGAAAAATTGTGTGTTTGAGTGCAGGCAGTGGTGAATTCATCCTTGAGCAAGGAGGTAGTTCTACCTGTCTTGAAGGGTGTGGTAGTCTGCTCCCTCCTCAAGGAATCACTGCTGGAGCCAACAGTTCTATATAATTTTCATCCAGTCTCCAATTCCATTTTGGGGGGAAGGTTGTGGAGAAGGTGATTGGACTGCAGCTTCAGAGGGCCTTGGAAGAAGCAACCCTTTCCTGTAGGGTTTCAGATCTGGTTATAGTACTGAGACAGCATTGATTGCACTTATTGATGATGTATGGTGGGCCTGGGATAGGGCTTGGGATAAGGAGGGTACATCCATCTTCGCCATTCTTGACCTCTCAACAGCTTTCAATACATCAGTACATTGATATGGTATTTATCAGGAGCAACTTAGGGGGGTGGAGTGCAAGGCATGAGTTGTAGAATTTTTCTTTCTTCAAGGCCTGTCCAGTCAGTGTTGGGGGCAGGGGGAGAGATTTTTTTAACCTTAGGCCCTTACTTTATGGGATGTCATGGAGTTTGACATATTCTCTCCTCTCCCACTTAGCATCTACACAAAGCCTGAGGGAAGTCATCCAACAAGGGGTTAGGAATCATCAAAACATTGATGATAGTCAACTATACAACTCAGCCACAGTTGCACAATCATGCCATCAAAGTTCTGTTTCAGTGTCTGGAGGCAGTGGGGTTTGGATAGGGAGGAATAGGTTCAGGCTTAATCCTAGCAAGGCAGAGTGGTGGTGGATTTGGGGACCACCCAATCCGGAAGATGTTTCCATCTCTAATTCTGGATGGAACCACATTGCCCCAGTCAGAAGTGGTGCAAAATCTGGGAGTCCTCCTGGGTGTGACTCCTGCTGAAGGAGCAGGTGGTGACCAGTTAGGAGTGCCTTTGCACAAATCCATCTTGTGTGCCTGTTGAACCCATTCTTGGATTGGGAGGCCCTGTTCATGGTCATTCAAGCCTTGGTGACCTCTCACTTAGATTTGTGCTCTACACAGTTCTCTACACAGATAATGTGCTGTACACAGGGTTGAAGACTACTTAGAAGCAACAGATGGTCCAAACTGCAGCGCCTCAGTACACCCATGTAATACTACATGAGCTGCACTGATTACTAGTTGGCTTTTGGGTGCAATTCAAAGCACTGGTTGCCATCTATAAAGCCCTTCATGGCATTAGGCCACAATATTTGAGGGGCTGCCTGTCTCCAACTATGTCCGTCAACCAGTAAGATCAGGAAGGGTTGCCATGCTTCAGATCCCATTTATTAAATAGTTTCATGTTGCAGGACCCAGGAACCATGCCTTCATGTTGCTGTACCCACCGTGTGGAACAGCATTCTCCAGCAAATCCAAACCACCCAACCCTGCTAGCCTTTAGAAAGGTGCTGAAAATCTGGCTATTCACTTGGGCACTGGGCCAGGATGTTGTGTAAACCATCCATATATATCAATTTGTGGCTTGTGAATTATTGGGTCTGGTGCTATAGATATAATGTGTGTTTTATTAGTTTGTTCAATGTTGAATTAATGGGGTTTATTGTTATTTTAATATTATTAGCCACCCAAAATCACTTGACAAGTAGGCATTATTATTATTGTGGTTAATCGCACAGTCAGTCAGATGATTAGACTGGATTTGGCATTTTTATCCACCTATCGAGTCCTTCCCAAGGACTTGGGATAGGCAAATGTTGTTTGTTGGTGTTCAAGGTATCGTCACAGGATATAAACTGTTCCAAATAAAACTGCCTTTTGCAATTGGCTGATGATGATTTTGTCAGTGCTGATGGTCCTCAAGTGGTGTTCCAGATGTTTTAGGATTGCACCCAAGGCGCCTATAACTATTGATACTATCTTTGCTTTCTTTTGCCATAGTCATTCTACTTCTATTTGC